ACTCTTTCTTGGGAATGTTACATTTAACAAAGTTGTTTGTAGTAAAGTATGCTGAATTTCACATTCTCCAAAGGTATTGTAGACTGTAGCTCATGGTAGAATCAAATAGGTTTTAACTCATTAGATAACTGTTATGGTGTGTAGGCTATCAGAGTTGCTATCAGAAGCTTCAGCACGTTCATTAAGCATCCTTCAAGACATCTCATTATAACTTTCAGGGTTGTTTACAGTGTGTTTTGTACATGACCAAGTTTGGGTTTTGTTTTTCCCCCGCTGATTCTTCTATAGATGACACTACCTTGAAATACAGCTTCTTTCCCTTGTTGAAGCCTCACCTTCACTAGCCTCACCACCCTTATTGAAGAACACCTCAGACAGGTGTTCTTCCGTATTTTTAAAATCTTTTCTGTTTCCCAGCCTCATATAGATAATGTACTAATTAAGTCCCTATTTGGTTTCTTTTTTTAAAGAACAATTTAAGAAAAAAGCCAAACAAACACCACCTGTTCAACTGATGTATTTCTTACTGTCCTTATTTGCTCATTCTTCTTTTCTGGATGTTGTTCTCCTATGAATCATTTAATGCTGTCTGTCAGGGACCTTCTTTGCAATTTTGTGTGGTAGGGCTTCAGCCTTTGCCTCCTTGAGTACTTTTTGTAGTCAAGGGAGGTCTTGCAGAATTTTATCCTTTGTCTGCATCAAGGTTGATGATGATGATGCAGTCAGTCATACTGTATTTTACTTTGACTCTGAGTCCAAGCCTGGATTTGTAATTTGTTTAGTCTTTCAGACCTTCCCTTCGTGCTTTGGCTTAAAATGCCATTGACAGATTTACTGCTTTATTATTTTGTTTCATTTTGTTGTCAGAGCTTTTACAAGATAGAGTAAGTAAGTTCCAGATTATCAGAAAGATGTCGATAAATTGCAGCAAGTGCAGGGGAGAACCAAAGCTTTCATGAGGCTCAATAAAGGATTATTTATGAAGAAAGATTAAAAGATTATAGTTTGGTTAAATGAATGATTAAAGGGGAACAGAAGGTTTAGAGATATTTGAATGGTGTTAACAGCAGAGAAGGAGTTGAGTTAGTGTAATACAAAAGAGTAAAACTAGAGGTATTTGGATTAATTTAATGGAAGGGAAATTTAGGCTATGGGATAAAACTTTTACATGATGATACTTAACTGCTTTATGGGTTAATTTCTGAAAGGAAGTGGTAAGCACATAGTTTCTTGGAATATAAGGGCCCAAGAGTAGTCAAAAAGAAAATGCATGCAGCAAAATTGAGCAGTTTCAGGGAAGCCACTTAATGGGTCTTTTCTGTCCCTCATTTCCATGGGTCTGAAACAATGATGAACTTAGGTATTTCAGAAACATTCAGAATGTAATCTCTCTGGCTCTCCTGAATGTCATGAAATATCATGGTTAAATTGCATATTCCTTTAGTCAAATGTCTACCAACCTTGCCATTTGGTATGACTAGTTCAGTTCTTCAGCACACAGCCATACTACAGGTTAGTGGGAGAGTATCTAACAGATACTGGTATTAGATTTACTTACTCATGTGATTGATATGTTTTAAATGGCCAGGAATTATTTTTCTTGGATTTTTGTTTAATGTAGTATTTATGGTAGACCAAATCAGTGAACACAGAAATGAACCTTAAAATTTTTCATTCTATCCTTATTGTTGTCAGTCAGTTACAACTTCCAGTGTCTGTAGCGGATTGCCAAGGCTGCAGGTTCATATGTTTATATGTATCTTTATTCTGTATTTATATAGCATGGAGGCCAGTCTTCCATCACTGGTTCCAGTATTGACATGTATTTAATGAGAAGAGGGCTGTAACCAGAGTGTACCTTAATTTATTTTTCATGGTTTTCAGAAGGCTGTGTTTAGACAACCTTCATGTTCTGAAAGGCTGATAGGCGTTACAGAGCAAACTTATTTTAGGGTTTACATATGTGGGGAGGGAGAGAAAATGTTCTTTTCCAACCCAGCATATTTGTTAATACTTGCTTCTGTATTTGGATACAGAAGGTATTTGGGAGAAATAACTACAGTGTAAGACATGAGAGAATTGTCTTAGTTCTCGTATAAGGGGGTAGGAAGGAAAAAGAAACAAAAGTTTACCTCTGGGGAGAAACTGAAAGAGAAGGGATGACAAAATAAATATGTAGATGTGTTTTATGAAATAGTGATTCACTGAAGCCTACATGTTCTGTAATCAGTGTTGTGCTGATCACCAAAAAATACTGACCAGAAATTAAATTCTAGACCGTATGTTGCCTGGGTAGGAGAGAGAAAAAATGTAGGAAGAGAAGGATGCAACAGATGTGGCATACAAAGAATACTGTAATAGAAGCATTCAATATATCCTACCCACTTCCTTGCATCCTCCCATGAGGAAAATAAACTGGGTTTTTTTGTGTTGTCAGTTGACCGATGGGAAAAGTTCAGAAGACGAAAGAAGGAATGTTGCTACAGATCAGTAAAATATGAAAATATATCAGCATATTTATTTATGAACAACTTTTTTCAAATGCTCTGAATTGGAAATGTCCTGGATTGCCACTGAATTCAGCAGGGTTTGAAGGCATCAAAGTGTCTCATAGGACCAGGTTTCCAGTTGGCATGCAAATGCAGTGTAGCACAAATGCAAACTTACCTTCCATAAAGTCCATTTCAGAATTGGTATTACCTGATTTATAGGTGGGGCATGAGTTCCTTAGGTAACTGAGAATTGAATGGGACCACTGGGAGGGGTGAGGGGGATTAGGAGTGTGGCTGGAGGTGGATTGTTTTGTTAGAGTTGTTAACTGCTTACAAAATTCAGACCCTGACCACTAATTCTTGAAAATGAGCTAAAGGTAACAAACTGTGCTGATCCTGAAGAGCACCTAGAATCTAACAGCAAAATATTTGAGTCGCATCAGAATTAATATTGATGGTTAAAAAAGAAAGAGAGCAGAGTTTCTCTGTTACAAGTCACTGCTTTTTGCGAGAAGCTGCTTTAAGGGAACCAATATGCTCCTACTCGGCGGATATCATGAAGCAAGCTCTGAAAGCACCGTGTGCTATTGGCTCCAATCTGGGAGATTCCCTTTTGATGATACCCTGGCTAGCTGCCTGAAAGAGATAGAAAAATCTCTTTCATAACTTTGCAGTGAGGAGAAGATGAAAGACAAAGGCTGGATTAGTGTGATCTCCGTAGTCTTCTCATCACATAGACCTGGGAGCAACCAGCCAGAGCCTGAAGCTCGCAATAGCTACAAGCACTTCAAGCAGTGACTGCTGGTTTTCTCTTTCTGTGCTCTTTTTTTTTTTTTTTATTTCCGTGTTCTTGTACCAAGACTCTTCGTCTCTGTGCCTGACCTTGTCTTCCAAACCCTCTCTTGCCAAAACTGCAGCCCGGGGGTTCAGATGACAGTACATAGATGCACAAGCCGATATGGACAAGTTGTGGTACTCATAAAATTACGCAAGCTGCTTTTTTGCTATTTGCACATTATTAGCCCATTTTTCTGCTATTTGTTTACTGGATCTGTGTTACACATCTCCATCCAGCAACAGGAATAACAGATCTGCTCTGGACTGGTTCCTAATGACAGTGGTTAAAACAATTAGTATTCTTTATTAGCCTTGTGAATGTGATAAGATTATGCAGTTGCATTACAGTCTGTACATTTTAACTGTTTTTTGCCTCATTTTCAAAAAGCAAAAAAACCTGTAGGATTTCATGAAAATACAATTCATTGTAATGATTTAGACATTGCTTCCCTTTTCAGTGCTCAACCCAAGAGTTTTTCTTGATTGTCAGCACACTGTCTCGTCTGGACTTAGAAATTCAAGCTCTTGTTCCAGTCATACATTCTCATGTGAAAACTCCTGTGTTACAAAAGGCACTGTTGGAAATCCCGGAGCTTCTCTCCCCAGTAAAACATTATTTAAAGATCCTTAATGAGGAAGCAGCTAAGTAAGTAGAGAAAATAGATGAATCTTCTGTGCCTCATAGGCTTTCAGACTAAATGTATTCAGTTATGTGAATTATGCATCTTGTTTTAATACACCTTAGTTTTATATGTATGTATGTACAGGTTACTTATAGTTAAAGCAGAGGTTGTTGTTTTCTACAGCTTATATTCCTTTTATAAAGTTAAACTAGGTGAGCAAGTGTTTTGCCCAGTGGGTGTCTGCCTCAGGCTGAACGATTTTTTGAAAGTTTTTCAGCCGTTTTGGGGAATGAATTTAGAGAAAAATGTGTTTTGCGTATGTTAATTTGTTTAACAACTTTTTAATTATTTAATTATCATAGAGAAGCTATTTCTTTTTGAAGAGAGACTTGACCATTAGCAGAGTGGCTGCTCTGGTGCCAGGAATACGCCTTTTACTCTTTTTGTGAAAATTCATCAAAGCTTTGAATACCTCCCATCCTTTTTTAAAAATCCTCTTTATATTCTCACTAATGACAGAGAATATGAAGTTTACTAGCTCTGAAGATTCCGTGTAGCCTGTGTGATTTGTACACCCTCAGAGCATTTCTGGGGTAGTGCCTTGTTCATGAACTCTCTCTAGAGAATGACTAAAGGAGCACCTACCTCAGGCTGTGGGTGTGATCAGGCTTTTTCCTGCAATTGCCTTCCTGCAGTCTTGGAGAGGTGAGCTGGAAGTATGGTGGCTGTCTGCCCTTTTTTGTCTTAATTGTGTCCTTCGTCGGTACAAGAAAAAAAATGGTAGACAAAGGAAGAAGATGCTAAATTGGAATGAATATACATTATAAGGGAGAGTGTCTTTAAATAATTTCTTGTGTACTGCTTCTTCTGTAGAACTGCTGCTTCCACTGTTACCCCTAGATCCTAGTTTTAACTACAGGAAAAAGGCAGGAGACTTAAGATGCAGAATAGTAAAGCAAAGCCATGAGTTCAGTAAGGGAGGGATGTATAAAAACCTCTCAGGGGGCAGGATTTAGGAGGGATACCTTGTGACTAGTAAAAGTTACTATCTTTCAGAAAAAAAGCAGTATAAAATCTTATAAAAAAAGGTTCTCTCACGGTGCAAGGCACAGAGACAGTCTGTCTCGCTTGCACAGCCAGCCTTTCTGAGCACTTGACTTTGCAGGTTTTTGGTCTCCTTTCAGTGTAGTTTTTGTTGACACAACATGTTAAGTTGACATTCTGAACACAAAATGAGTATCATCCAGCTTTATATCCAGATAATACTAAGCTTCCCTGCTATGGGCAAGTTTCATTTAACTTTGAACATTTCCTCATACGTTATGAGATATAATTGACTATGATATACCTAGAGATTCTTTGATGAAAGATGTGGTATGTAGTTTAATGTGTAGTTATATTGGGGCAGCATAGTCTTGATCTTTTATTTTCAAAACAGCCTAAAAATAAACATCCAATTTATTTATCTTTTTTATCTTCTCCAGCTGGGATTTAGAATTAAAGAAGTTTAAGAATTAAGCCCAGAATGTACTTCATTTGTTTCTGAATTAGAGACAAATGCAAGGTGTATAAATTTAGAAGTTGAGAAGGGTAGAAATATTTCCTATGCCCATTGGACAGGTGGGGTTATGAGATTTCTACTGATGCATAATTATAGCTGTGGCAGGTTATGACAAAACAGACTGTTTCTTAAGTTTACCGGATTTACTGTAGGTAGGTTTAAAATATGGGTTTTTTTCTGTCACTGTCTTGATGATGGCTAGAATAGCATACAAACATAAGATACAATAGTATAGGTAGAAGATATCATCACTGATGTCCAGACAGCATATATTTCATTTGCATTTATTCAGGATGACTAAAGTAACTTTTGGCCTTTATGTATCTTGGACTTTGTGTGGCAATATTATTTGTACTTTAAAATCTTTCTTTCATCAAAATCATGATGACTACTCATATACATATTTGTACACACACACTTGCACACACATATGTATACTGCATCATGTGTTAGTTTTATTATGTTATGTGGATAAAATCCTGTAGGGGTTTTTAAAAGCATCCCTCTGTTCCAGGGGAGTTCACGATTTTGGGTTTTGTGGGTTTTTTTAAACTGTCAACTTACAAATTTTTGGTAGGCATCGCATAGCAGTGATGGTCTTCACAGTCTGCTGCTGGCTATTAACGATCTTTTTTTCCTTGCATTCCCATGGAAACAGGTCTAATTAGCACAAAATCTTTTCTAAAAATTAGTATTTTATTGCATCTTTATTGCATCTTTGCTGTCATTTATATAATAACTGTGTCCATGTAATAGAAAAATCAAAACACAGCTTTGTGGTAACCTGTCTGGTCACTAGCTCCAGTTGTAGTTTCATTCTCAGGCAAAGGGGGTGTCAGAGTAGGTAGAATATTAGACATTTCATTACTTCCATGTTTTATTACTTTCAGTTTGCTAATTACTTGCTCTCCAAATATTGGATTTCAGGGTAATTATGTAATTAACTGGTACAGTTTGTATTTGCTCTAAAATACAAATGTATATTCCAATTAACTTAGGGCTGATTGCACTACTTTTTGTTGTTTGCCTGATACTTATTAGGATAAATTAAATTTTTGTTATTTTTGATGACAGCCATATTTTTAATAGATTGTTCAGCTTCCCAATTTTAAACATTTGAATGGCATTGTCTGTTTCAGGTTTCAGTCTTGAGCTGAGATAGTGCAGCCAAAACAATTCTGTCATTTTCTGACATTGAGATTAGAAAAGAGCATTGTTCTGCATGTATCAAAAAATTATCTGGTTAATTTTTTATTGAGAAGAGAAGGAAGCTACTCTGAGAAACTCCTGATGACATTCTGCTTTGATGAAGGCCTGTGGGAGGGATTTTTCTTTGCAATCCTCATGAAAATCTGCTGAAATTGGCCAAATCCTACATATGTCAAAAATCTCTGTACATGTTATGCAGAAATTATCTAGAGTTTCACATTTAAGCATGATAAAGATGTTGTCAGCACTTAGGATGCTCCAGGTTGGAGCAGCAATGGCATTGCAGAATTACGGATTGAGACAGAAGGGAATGATCTTTCTTGTGCTTCCTTTTCTTGCTCTGCTCGACTGAGGGAGAACAAACAGAAATGTGCAGGATGCACATCAGAGACAACATAAAAAATGAGTCAGCAGGGTTTGGTGTAGAAGAAAAAGTCTCATGTGATAAGAGTAGAAAGGAACAGGAATAGATTGGTTTTGAATATCTTGCAGGGCGGCTATCTTGGTGTAGCCTCTTGGAGTTAATGTATTTTATTTTTGTAGTGTGTATGGCGGCTTTCACTAAATGTGCTGTACTATGACCAAGTAACAGAAAAGCTGTATTTAGAGGGGAATAAAGCTAGTGTGAAAAAGAAATGAGAATAACAAATAACAATACAGATGCAGCAAGTAGAATCAGGGAACTTATCTTTGGTTTTACCATTATTTTATCGTATGCTTCTTATGAATAGGACTGGAGATAAAACCCAATTGTTCAAGGACCTTACAGACTTCCCTGTCATCAGAAAAAAAAAAGAGGAGATCCTGGAAGTGCTTTCTAAAATCCAATTGCATCTGCTGGACATTCGTAAACAGATTAAGAATCCTTCTGCAGAATATGTTACAGTTTCCGGTCAAGAGGTAATATGGTATCTATTATGTATGACTGTACCCTTGCTTGTCTAGAAAATAGCTTTAAAGTTAGGCTTAACTAGAACTCTCTTCATTTAGTTTGATAGTTGATGAGATCATTTGACTATAATCTTTTGTACAGCTTTAAAGAACAGTTTTGTAACGGTGTCACCTTTTTATTTAAGTCAATTACTTTAGTGATTTAAATATAATAAAAACACATTAGTGCAGTTGAATTTGGTTCAGTAATGCTTTGCTTTTCTGTATATGTAAAAACACTTGCATACGTCCAAGGTTAATTATGTGGCTATTAAGTGCTGAAATACTCTCAGAGAACCAGGAAGCACAGCGTTAGGTTAATTTGAAGAATGGTAAAGTGAGTTGTAAGTACTGATTAAGACTATAATTTGAAAGATGGGAGAAAAGAGGAACAGTATTAAAGAATGATAAATGTTATTTTACTTTTAATTCTTAGAAAACGTGGTTGTGGACTGGAGCTTTTGTTTGCTAGATGTTGTGCAAGTGTGGGCAGACCATGATCCAGCGAGCTGAGAAGTTTAGTGAAAAAAAAGAAAGAGACGGCAGATCCTGCCATATTTGTAGGGGAACTGAAAGGAGCAGTGAGGTAGCGCTGTTCAGCATTGTCCTTTGGAAACTGGGGAAACCAAAAATTCGGAAAAGAAAGAAGTTAGGAAACTGAATGAGAGTTGGGAGTAAAAGAGATGAATTGGTGAGGACAGGGAAAGTCGGAGCTGGAAGCAGCTCCTTGTGGTCAAGGACCGAGGAAGCTGGGAAAGACACAGCAGGTAGCAGATGGCAATGCTGAAAGGCAGAGAGAATGTGACAAGGGGTGAATTAGAGAGCAAAGCATTTCATAAAGACCTTGGGTGGATATTTTTTTTGATGGTGAGGCTGAGAAGAGGAAACATGGGGCTGAAGGGTGGGGTAGGCTGTCAGCATGGGTGCTGACGTCCAAGAGGAAGTGTGGAAGAATGTGTTTGAGTATTGTGTGAGGAAGCGAAGAGCCAGGATTTGAAAGGTTTCTCTCCAAGAGGCTGGTGTAAGAGGATGGTGGTGATGTCTGTGAAGGAAAGGAGAAGAGAAGAATTGATCAAAGAGAGGACAGCATCAGAGGAAGTAGTCAGATGTGAACTGGACAGAAGAGTTTCAGAAACCACCAGTCACTATGTGCATGTTTGAGAGGAGGCCTTTGTAGCAGGGCACAGCTCAGAAACCATTGCAGGTTTCTGAGAAAACCAAAGAGATCTATCTTGGCAAATTCATGAAAGGAGCTGCAGAGGTTATGGATATCTGTTATTTAATTACATTGGGTATGAGTGTTTCAGAGACATCAAAAGAGGCAGTAGAGGAAGGGTTAGAGAAGATGATCAGTGACAAAAGGAAGGATACTAAAGGAATGGAAATAATAGAAAGGGAATTGTATGGGAGGAAGAGAGCACAGGCATAACAAGACCCTCTTTGAGTTGAGCTCTTTATTCCTCATCTGTGTGGTATATGCTTTTATGTTGTTGTAGCACTCTTGATAGATGTAGTATTCAAACAATTCTTCACAATAGAGCTGGGCAAAAGCCACGTTTATGGTTTGCTAGTTCTGAAAGAGAGAAAAGGTGCCAAGAAACTTTTTCTATGTATCTGTTCAGGGAACAAGCCTTGGAGGAAAGAAAAGAAGAAAAAAAAATAATCATACTGTTTGCTCCTTCATGTTTGCCCCCCCAAACCCATGATTATGAATACATGGCTAGATTTTCAGTCAGCCCGCAGTTTATTAACCTACATTTGTAAGTTCCTGTTAAAGTTCTGATGAAGATGCAGTTGACACATACCTTTTGCAAAACACAAGGTTACACCCATATCTATCTTATCTTTGGTTTCCAGACCTCTGATGTAATTCATAGTGTGCACTAAACAGGACAGAAAGCTGCCCAGATAGTGATAGCATTGCTATTTGTTTCAGGCAGAATTTAGAAATTGCTACATTTGCCAAATGTTTCCTTTCTGCATGGCATAAGCAGTGCTTTGGGCTCAGTTTATTTAATATTGCAATTATTTATCTAATAGTGCTAAGAATTAAAGGATGAAAAAGCAAATTAAGATTGCAACCTCTAGTGTTTCTCACTAGCCACACAAACAAACCATGCAATTGATCTAGCTGTGTTAATTTAGACTATTTTGAGTTCAGTTAGTCATCCAGCATAGACACAAATGTGGTATTATTTTCTGTCTTCCTTTTGTAAACACAACATATTTAATTGTTTTGAGATGAAATTCAGAAAAAACTGTAATACCACATCAGCACATCAGCAACACCACTAGTGGCAGCAGCTGTTGGCTCGTTTTCAAATCTTTGCAGATCTCTCCTTCTACCCCTTTTCAGTCTTTGTCTCATGCGTATTATGTAATTTCAGGGTTTCTATAGTACCAAATATTTTCAAGGTGTCTTATGTAAATTAAGAACTAGTGTACTATCTCCTTACTGAAGTCTTGCGCTCACGTTAGGATTATTCTTCTTGTTTGTACTTGAAGACGATTGCTCGCTATTCTGGTGAGGTGTGGAAGATTGCATCTAAATCATACTAACTGTAATGGAAAAGCTTTGTCAGATGAAAGTCTTGGGGTTTTCTGTAAGGGTGATCAGATTCTGGGTTAATCTAATCTCTGCTAGAAATTAATTTTCCAGCTGAATTCTTTTATTTGAAAATGCCTCAATTCTTTGATGTCTAGGACCTCAGGCTGGTGTTGTAAAGATAACAGACATTAATAATTTAAAATACTGCAATAAACACATGGTGTAAATTTCACTGCACTGAGTATCTTGCCATTACTGCTGGTTTGCCCTATTCCTTCCCTTTCTGACCCCAAGTTGATCCAAACTTAAAACAAGGTGCTGTACATACAGTGCTAGCATTTGAGATTTTTGAGCTCTTGTCTGTGAAATGTTGTAGGTTACTGTGGCTCAGTATGAATCGCTGATCCCTAGGCAGGAAGACACATCCCATTGATAAGAGGTGGCCTCAGTACAGGTGGTATATAGTGTAGAGTCCATGTAAATGCTGAATCCTCTACAAGGCCCAGTCAGGATCAGGTAAGCAAGACTGACTTACTAGCTTTAGTCTGGTTTTGGCTGGATAAGAGGGAAATGAAGAGAGTGTGTTAGTGGGTGAAGGAATAGAAGGGTAGACATGGGGCAGCAGCATGGTAGTGCACACAAACAGCTCAGGATGGGAGTTGCTCTTGTGGCAGAAAATGTGTATGTCGTAACCCTCACTTCTGGGGGAAAAAAGAATATTAGCTTCTGGTCTGGTCTGCTCGGGTCTCTTCAGGCTGAATGTGGTTTTCCTCTGATGCGTGCAGATTTATTGATACATGATGATTATGGTTCTGTAGTCTTCCTAATGTCCCATGGTGTATAATAGTACATTTCTGTTTATTTTAGTTTATGATAGAAGTCAAGAATTCCCATAAATCATCTGTGCCATCTGACTGGGTTATGGTTAGTAGGTATGTGAAATATCTTTGAAGTTTGTTATATTTTAATATATAAGGGAAAAAAAAGTGATATTTTGTTATTACAATTAATTACATACCCATTCTCATTGCTCCATGTGTTTGATTGTGTTTTGGTTGTGGTTTGTTTGGTTGTTTGTTTGTTTGTTTTAAACCATAATTGTTATGTTAATTTATTGCCGTAATAAATTTTCCCTAAAAGCAAACAAAACCAAGCTAAAAAGCTGGAGTTCTTAAAGAGTTTCCTTTTACATGGTAGGTCCTTAATGCACTATATTACTTGCTTAGTCTTTCAAAGTACGTGTACTGGTGTCAAAACTATAGTCTTGATTCAGCTGGGCCTGTAGTTTGTAGATACAAATATTTCATAAAATTTTGATTGCTCTTATTTTATTTAGAAAGGTAAAGGTAGCTGTGGAAATACCCATGCATCTCAATAAACTTAGTGTATTTAAAATGTAATTTTACTTATTCATACAGACAACTTTTACTTGCTTTGGTACTTAGTGTTGTGGAAGCATGATTTTAGATACTTCTGGATACTTTTTCCAATAGGTGAAACAGAGCTGCAATAAATTATGTAGTTGGCTTTTTTCAGTCATTTGTTTTATCATCTACACAGGTTGAATACCTTAATGTTATGATGTGTGAGCACAGACATCTTACACTTGAAATAGGCAGAATCAAGGTGAATTCTGAAGTGATGTTTTATTCACTTGTGCAAGAATTCAGTATTAAAAATCCACAGATAGACAGAATTAAGATGATGAAGAACATATTACAATTAATCTGGATTTTGTAAAAGAATGCCTGAGAATGCCAAAGTGAGTCCTTAATGAAAATAAATAAATAGCAAGTGCCCCAAATGGAAACTAGTATTAGTATCCCTGCAAGACAGTCTATATTTGCTAAGGTTATTTCAGGCTTGTCAAGAATTTTTCTACTTCAAAGTGAATTTTTTTTCTCCCGAGTTCATTGTATATGCCATCAGTCAAAGAAAAGCCATCCATTTGCACAGCGTATTGCTGAACAGAATTTTGTGAAATACATGAACTTCAGTGATATGTGCTACATTGTGAAAAACTTTTCAAATCTACCTGAATGGGCAGTGGTGCAGTAACTGATCACTTTATTCATGTTGAAGATCATTGGAATCAATAGAGTTGGTACCACAATAAAAAACATTTTTTTTTAACATCCATTTTCAAGGCTCACAGAGAGTGAGAAAATTAGTCCAATTTTGCATGTGTAACTGATTGCTTAGTAACCTTGATTTCCTATTTGGCTTTTCTCTGTCTTCCAGCACAAAAGCTGTCAGCCGTTTCCACTCTCCTTTTATTATAGAAAATTACAGACATCTGAATCAGCTCCGGGAGCAGCTAGTCCTTGACTGCAGTGCTGAATGGCTAAATTTTTTAGAGTGAGTTTACAAAATAGAGTAATTTATTTTAATTTTTTGTTTGTTTTATTTTATTTATTTTATTTTTGCTATACGAACAGAAAAAGAAAGATGTTTATCTTTAAAAAAGTTGATAATTCAATTATGTTGCCTACAGCAACTTTAAAGATAGTAAATTAAAATATTGTTCTTAAATTTAAAGTATTTGGAGGCAAGACCTTTGCAGACTGAGTCCTGAGACCAGCAGTGATGTCTCTAGATTTTAAAATTCTGATTATTATACACTATTAAATATATAAAGTGGATGTCAAAATTTGAAAACTAACATCACTGCATTAAGAACCTGAAAGTATGACTGACTGTAAATGAGTGAAACTGAATCTAATAGTTTTACTATTGAAGTATAATGTAGGTGAAATGAAAAAAGAATTTATTATACAAGCTAACCAAATTCACTTTTAGTATTAATAGAAATACAGCATGCCTTCACTGTTAGGTGTGCCATTACTAAAAAAAAAAAATAAAATTAATTGAGTACAATTGCCGAATTGCAGTGTTACTTACAGTTTTTGAGTTGGGAGTGTTTAAGGTGTTTGGACAGTTGCTTGGGTGAGTGTCATTCTCCGTAGCCTTATATTTTGTTTGCTAACTCTGTGACTGACTGTTAGTCTGGTTGCTAGGAAGTAATGGGAGTGTTACTGTCCCTCACAACTGGCATGGAAGATCTGTTTGTCTCAGATCAGAGTTTTGAATGCAGTTATCTTCAAAACAGGAGTTTAAAAAATTTTCCTCAAACTTCTGAATTCCTTTGATTTTTCAGGTGTCTCGTTATCAATTATTTTTTTACTTCCATGAATTGCAGACCAGCTGAAATTGTTCCTCGTGTCATGCAATGATAAATGGCTCACTTTCACTTGTGCTTTTTTCCTTGCTGCAAAAACTTAACAAGATCCTTCTGAAGTTCTCTCACTTGACATAGTTGATGCCAAGGTTGCCTCCTTGTAGGAACGCAGCAGTTACGTAAATTTGGTAGAAGCTAGAAAAACATTCGAGTTTGCTCTTGTCCAGTGTTGCCTTTGCAATACTAAAAAAATAATTCTGTTAAATAATAATTTGTCACTGTGCTACCTGTGTAAGTTTGAGTAGAACTATTTTAAACTTTCTTCACTTAGATCTGCTGCTTTTCATGTTCACTTTGCTGTTTTCAATGGTGTTCTATGATAGCAGCATGCAACAAGGAAAGATTGTGTGTAGAAAGTGCTTTTCTTACCCACACCTCCATTTATTTATTAAATTTATTAGATTTTGCTCCTGTAACTGATTTTTTTTTTTTTTTTTTTACAATCCATGTTGTATCTTTGAGACTAAAAGAGGAAAAAAATTCTTGAGGACTAAGAGAATAAACTCTACTGAAAACTGTGTTCTCCTGGTAATGACATTATTTTATTGGGGGAAGCAATACCATAAATGAAAAATGAATTCCTGAATTTTCTGTTGTAGATACCGTATTTTATTGAAATTGTAGACAACTCCTGTGTCAAGGCACTTTTAGTTTATTTTGTTTGACTGTAACTTTTCATTGAAGTGAATTGGTAGTTGGGGTTCAGTTGCTACTGTGATAAACAGTGGCATTTTTATCGACTTCATTTAGGCAGCAGGGATCAACTGCAGACCTTTATATGCTATCTAAGGAATTTCATTTTGCCTGCTTTTTTGTGCTTAAAAATAATTCACTGTTACAATGGAAGCATGAAGTCCGTCTTGATTAAGATTGTGTCCTCATATTGTAAGTTAATACACTGCTGGGAGATTTGAATTCAGAATAATTTAAAGACCATATGAACCCTGTGAGAAGCATGCATGGGGTATATTTTGACAGTACATTTGTATCCATATGAAATTATTTTTTTCCTCTTCTGTTCGTCCTGTTATTTTTCCCTGTTTTGGTATAGCCATTTTAGTGAACATTATCACCCTGTGTCTAAAGCGATTGGTCACCTAGCAACTATCGACTGTCTGTTCTCATTGGCTCAGGTGGCTAAACAAGGAGACTACTGCAGGTAATCAATTTTTAATTTGTATTTAGGGTTTTATAGGGAATTATAAGAGAGTATTTTAAATAAATTTTATTTTAATATGTGTGCTACAATAAAATGCATTATTAAAATTGTTTCGAGTAGTTTCAACTTAAACTGATTTTGCAAAGCAACACTTCTGGCCTTAATGCAAATCTGTAAAGATTGCAGTTCAAATTTGACATCTAATGTTTGTCTGTCTATTGTTTGACCTGAGCCTAGTAGGTGATATCTCATATGCATATGAATATATGTTGGACTTTGCATGGAAATTTTGTGTCCTTTTTTTTTTTTCCTCCTCAGCAAGTCTGAATTTATAATGTCTTTCTAATATTTAAGATTTATAAGGTATATGAGGGATGTTTCAAAGATCTATTTCAGGTAAATAATAGGTCAATATTAGTGCCAGCTTCCACAGCAGTGATGATGCCTCACCTAAGATTACATGTTAGATCTGATGAGCTGTGCACCTCCTTCTACCCAAGATCCACACATGCACACTGGGCACTGCAGCCTGGGGCTCTGGTGGTGCCAAGGCTGTCCACCTTTGCTCTCTGCACAGGGTAGACATGAACCCTCAAGTTCTGCTTCCCCAGAGGCTGGTCCAGAGCTGGTTTCTGAGCACATACACCTTGCAACTCAGGTCTTCTTCCCCCTCATGAGCCCACATCTCTTGCACCCACACAGAGACAGTCAGTCTCACTGGGGTGCCTTCCTCCATACTGTGAGGTCCCTGTCCCCAGAGGCATTGGGACACTCACTGAGCCACTGCTTCAGCTTGCTGAGTGCTGTCCTACAGGCCAGCGCTTAGTGTCCAGAGACGTTTACTGTGGACACCCCTAAGGGCTGTTGGTTTCCAGTCCTCAGCCATTCCCTCTGCCAAACAGTCCACATACTCCCTCTTTTGAAACGTGGCGTGTGTAACTTTCTAAATGTAGTCACTGTGGGACTGCACTGCAAGTGCTTGGGCAATTGCTTAGGAATAACCATATGAATTAGTAACATTTGAGACCTGTAGAAATACAGCAAATCATGTATTAAATGTATGTGGATGAAGGGAAATCAACTTACATATGCTTCTGCTTTTACATAGCATTAAAGAGAATATTGATCACTTCTGAACTCTTGGGATCTCTCAAAATCTCTTTGAAAGTAATTGCTCACTTATTTTTGTATACTCAGATGAGAAAACAAACTGAAATCTGATTAATTCACTGTGCAGAGTTTAAATAATTCACTGAATTTTAAAGAATGGCTTAGAGCTTATAAACTGGCAGGAAGGAGACTTCTCAGTGAAACTTCAGCTGCAGGGAAGGTGTCAATAATTAATTTTGGAGGGCAACTGAAGGAAAGATGGGACTTTCGTATTAACTAATTTAAGTATTTCAGAGGAATGTTTTTTTACTAAGTGAGGATTGTTTCATATCACCCTACCTGAGGCACATAAATGAGTTGTGAAGTGTTCCACACAGTTGTTGGAGAGAGGTAAGCACCTCTTACAGTTCTGACATGTCTTGGGACCCCTGTGTTGGGAGACTCATCCTTTACATGGGCAATGTACAACATCAGGGCTCTCAGGCAGCAAAGTGAGATGCCTAAAGATGATGATGTAGGTAGTCCAGAGATCATCATCTGATGTTTGAGTATCCACTCTGCAGGCTGAGACTTTGTTTAACTTCAAGGCATGCTGCTGAAAAGGTATTACATGACTAAAGGATGTGTTACGCATTCTAGACCGATTTACTTTTTAAAATTTTCTTTTTTCCACTTCTCTTACTGCATGACACATATTTGATTGTGGGAACACAGGGTAGGGAAGACTTTTTTGAATGACTGTGGCTGAGGCCCTACTTCTGCTGACCCCATTGTCTCAAACCAGAACAGGCAGGCAGTCAGGCTTATGGCATCCTGAAACCACATCCTATCTCTCAGTTACGTGGAAGGAGGCTCAAGAAGTTAAGAAAAGGGAATTATTTCCAGAGATGAGAGCAGAAGTATAAAATGGCAAATGGATCATTTAGCTGTTGTCTCCCTCTCTTCAATGCAATGTGGAGAGGTACAGGAGGAAGTGCTTCTAGGTATGTGCTCCTCCCTTCTCAGACCACCACATTACAGCTCTAAAGAACTTACCCATCCAGCAAATAGAGGGTGAAACTTCCCTTCCTTGTCACCAAGGCCTAAAACTTTGTCTGTATTGGTTTCATCTCAGCTATACAACTGCTAGAAATATCTTCATGCTAAAAAAACCACACCATTATTAGCTTGCACCTCTTTCCCCAGTGCTTTGTGATCCTAATATGCCATTTATTTATCTCTATTTTCCTTTCCAATTACATCATCATTCTTCAACCCAAGAAAAATCACACTCCCCCCATCTTGTCTTCCCTCTAAAGTCCACCCAAATTGTTAGTTAATTTTCAGTCAAAAAATTCTGTGGCTTTGTTCCAATATTCTGGTTTTTCTCAGCTGCTGCCACTTTCCTAAGTTATTGCTCTGATTTCAGAGTGATTGTACTTCTAGTGTAGGAAAATGTTGCTGCGACATGAAACCACATTTACGTCTGCACTGAATGCTGCACTTCAGTTTACAATGAAAAAGTAAACCTAGGTTGCAGAGAAGAAAAATAAATCATAGTCATAATCCAACAGAACATGCTTCTTTTGCATTTTTTTGTTCTGTGAAGAACACACAGCTCGTGGAGATGAAGCTTTTAAGACATGGAGATATGTAACGTAGAATTATACATGTAGTAGTACATACACATGTTATATTAGTTAGTAGTGTATATACATGTTATATTAGTAGACATGTAGACAAATGTGTAGCTAAGGTGGAAGCATTTGAGACAAAACTTTTTACATGGTTTGGAGATGAGAGAAAAAAACTAAGTAGTATTGATCGGGTTTGCATATTAATTTCTAAAAAGGTACTGTCATTCCAGTGTTTCAACTTAGTAAGATTTTTCTATAGACAGTTATCGTTTGATGACTTTTGTACATGTTTGGGAGTTGCTGTCAATTAAGAGAGCTGCTAATTTTTATAGGAGACTTACAGCTCTATCATGATTACAGCTTTGATTTGTATGGTTTAATGTGTTATCAGTCATAATATACATAGCTGGACAGCTCCAGTTAAGACTTAATGCAGTTACAAGCTGAACCACTTCATCAGCAAGATCATTCTGAGAATATGAAATGTATCTGCAAAAGGTGGCACTTTGCAGAAGTTGGTTCAGTGGTGAGAATAAAGCAGACTGTCTTCCAATTTCTGGGGTTTGCTATTGCTTGTTCATTTTTAGTTCTTCATAGTTCTTTCAAATACACATAAATGACTGAAAACATTCCCTAGGTAATGAAAAAATTAAGGGAATACTCTAGAATGTCTTTATCCAATCTGCTAATATTTTTTATGACTGGATAAAACCAAGGAAGTCTTTAGAAATATTTGATAGCTGTAATTTTTGTAATTTGTATTTTTTCAACAAAAATCTGCATCACAGATGACCATCCTGCAGACTTTAGTTATAGTAGTTCTAAATAATCAGTTACAATAAACATTGAAATTAATGTCTCTTCCTTTTGCAGACCAACTGTGCAAGATGATCGGCGAGAAATAATTATAAAAAATGGGAGGCACCCTGTGATTGATGTGCTACTGGGAGAACAGGATCAGTATGTTCCAAATACCACTAACCTTTCAGTAAGTACTGAGATACTGTTTGAGTTTCAAAGTCATTCAAGGGAAGGAATCTGGGATATGCTTCTTTGCCAGGAAATTAAAATGAATAATTTAATCATACAATTGTCTGCTTGGTTGCATTTCCAAGAGATATTGCTAGACTTGATCACATCTGTTTTGTCCTTTATCTGGTATCTGTAGCCAGACACTCTCTTCATAACCTTGTTCTGTCTTAATGGCATAAAGAAAAGAAAGGTGACATCAAAATCAGGAAAATGAAAGTTTTAAATGGTTGTTTTTGAAAAACAAATTAATAATTACAGTTTTTTTAACAGTGTCATCAAAAGTCTAACTTTACCTCAAATTTGTGGAGTTTTTTAAAATACAAAGTAGCAACAACTTAAGTTTCTGTGTAACATTTTACAGGCTCAGTTTTCCAGATTAATTCTAAGATAGCTCAGATTTTTTTAGATATGTGTTTTCCTTTCTTTCTGGAAGTACTAACTTCGTACAGCCTTCTTAATCTGACAATGCAGGCTTGGAGCCCTGACTCTTCACTACGTACTATCAAGTACATGCTCTGTAGACTGCACATTAGTTGTAAGAAGCCTATCATATTAACATACGATAAAAATCCCCCACATGTAGCTTGCAGACTGTATGTTACCCATAAGTCTCCCTCTGGCTGTTGTTTTCTGCAATAGAGAATGATGTTGAGAAGTAATAAGTCTATTACTTGCTTAGTATTTTTGTCATCAAGAGGTCAAAGAAAGTGGGGGCACAACTTCTTAACATTTTCTGTGCAATATTACCTAAATTGTATAAGCTAAATTACCAAAAATTGCTATAAGTATGCAGTTACCATAGGTAGGAAACATTGCTGTATTTTATTTCACATATGTGTTTCTGATAAGCATATGTTAGTTTGTTTCCTCCTGTTTTTTTCTGAAGACCTAAAATCCATCTTTTAAATTACATGTCCTTTTGACATTTTTGTTAAATATTTACCTATCGGTATCTGTTTTGAAATACTACATTTCTATTCTTAATGAATTTAAAAAATGTGCTTGCAACTTAACTCTGAATACATAACTGCCTTTTCATAGAGTAAATATATAAAAGATATGAAACGGGTGTCCGTGTAGAGCACTGCTATGATAAATACCATTCAAATTTGTATGTATTTCTCTGGAAATATTTTTAAAGGCTGTTCTATACTGAACAATGATACCGATATTGTACAGTACTTCAGGGAATGTTTTCAAAATTATTTGTCAGCTCCAAACAAGTGACAGATGGCACTTACAAAAAATTCAGCATTTCATTGAGTAATCATCATGCACTTTGCCCTGTTAGTTCCATTCTTATGTTGACTTTCTAAATACTGACTATTACAAAATCAAGTCATCATGGTAGAACACTTTTGCCTCTACTGTTGGTTTGAGTTCTCTCCTTTTTTTGAGAGGTGAGTGGGAACCCAGTTTATGAAAATGCCTCTACTTTTAAACTGATGTGTTTAAATCACCAGGAGGATACGTCTCCTGTCATGTTTTCAGCTGAAATGTTGTCAAATATCTAACTTTAGGAAAAGCTTTCTTGCAGTGCCCTGAAATAAACATCTTATTCTTCTGTTCTCCCTCTCCTCCCCAAAGATTCGTGGATTCTTTTAGTACTTTTAACTTCAGCCATAAATTCCAGTAAGATGTTAGCTTGTGGCTGCATGCAATTGTAAGGGCAGATGGGTTCTCTGGTCTGATGTTACAGCATATGTTCTTTCTGAAAGCTGGCTTTGCAGCCCAGCCACCAGTCTCACAACATGGTTGGAGGGACCCTGGAGGGATACCAAACACATGCAAGAGATTTGTGGATTTTAACAGATGAACTCATTCTAGTTTTAAGTATCTATAAATTCTGTTGTGTTGAGCCAAATGGCGGTCCTGATGAAGTTTTAGTAGCAGTATTGAAACTGTACCTTAGAGACTAAAATGTTATGAATTTTGTTCCCTTATAGTCATATGCATTTTATTACCTCCATCCTTTATTACTGATAATGGCATTTTCTGGGTTTTGACTTTACTGCAACTTCCTTATGGGCAGGGTTTTCTTAGCAAAAGCTGAACAGCTTTTCACATATAATAAATACTGATTGCATGTACCTTCTGTATGATCTGGATTATGACATAAGCGACAGTCCTATATGAATTTTATTTGCCTCCCTATTAAGAGAATGAAAGCCCAATCAAAATATGAATCTGTAAATATCACGATCTTTATTCCGTGGAGATTTATTGTTGTTGTCACAGTGCCTGATCAGTTCCAAGTTTCCTAGGTAGTGTGGCTAATGTTCATTATGCACAACTTGTCCTTTCTTACATGCTTCCCTCCCATGGGGCAGTGGAATAGGCTGACTTTCTGTTAGTTCATCAATTGTTGGATTTCATTGCATGTACCCAGTGGAAGGGAAAAGTCTAGTTGTCTGAAATCCTTGCTTAACTTAATTTCCTAGTCTTGATTCAGGCTATAAGAAAGCCTTATAGATTCATTGATGAGTTTTAATTTATATTAGCAATTGTCTTGGACCACAGGAAGACAGTTTTATTCTGGAGCTACAGGCACGTAGCAGTACCACAGGGAGTCTTAGAGCTGAGACAAGCTCTTGCATCTGATTTCTTTTTCCATAGGATTTCAGTGGTTAGATACACTGATCAATCAGAGACTGGATACAGTCTGCTCACAATATCTGTGTTGCAGTCAAGTATTGTCAAACTCGGCAATGTCTTGATTTCTTCTTGTAGCCAGTCTGCTTGAATGTGCGTATGTTGTACCAAGGCAAGCAATTATGAATGGGTGTAAAAATCTAGTTCAGGTCTTCGTCTGCCAGATCTTCTCCCCATTTGGCAATGAGAACTCTAACTGGAGAGGAATGCAGATTACAACCAAATTAGGACAGCACTGGCTATGCTGAAAGCTGATTAGTTTCTCCCTTTCTCCAAGGAAAATTGCATAGAAGGTTCTTAGAGTGCTTTCTTGGCTCCTTGATGGAGAAAGGGAAAGTTCCTCCTCACTCTGTCCGTTTTGCTCAAGAGTAATGAAAGTTGATTGTGATGCTTTTCTCTCACCAGCCTGGAGAGGTCCTAGGAAGATTTTTCCATATGAGGCTTCATAAAATCTTGAGAAATGAATGCAATGAGTTTAATCCTGGCGACTTCTCCTTTATCCCTCTAAGCACACACACAACAGTCTTTTATAAGAAAGTGTCATGTACAGGACAATATATTTGACCACTGTTTATGTTTCCAGGGAGATGGTGAAAGGGTCATGATAATAACTGGACCCAACATGGGAGGAAAGAGCTCCTATATAAAACAAGTTGCATTGATCACAGTCATGGCACAGATTGGTTCTTACGTTCCCGCAGAGGAGTCGACAATTGGTGTTGTGGATGGTATTTTTACCAGGTAATCTTTCAAAAATTACTGTATGTTTTTGAAAACATTATTGTGACAGGGTGTGTGTGTGTCTATATCAAAGTATAATTTCATTTTTCATTTAGAACTTCAGATTTTCATTCTAAATACATGTGTTGGTTGTTAGTTCTGGTAAGCTCTAGTATTGTTTTGGAACATTTGAATCTTTAAAGGATAAGAATGTCAATGTGTCTGTCTTGATTAAGATCCAGATATCTAACTTCATCTGCCTGAATGGACATCTCAGCCAAATTTATTCTACTGGGTGATAGCCAAATGATGTTTCCCCTTAAATGAATGCTGTCACCTCTAAAGATCAGGTTACAGTTTTGCTGTGCAGCACAGTTGTACTTACTAACAACACGAGACTGAGAATTTGGGGCTGTGCTTATTATCCTTCCTGTACTATCAGTCTTGAACACACTTTACGTCATGTCTTTTAAGGAATGAATAATGACAGTTCATTTCACTCAGCGTGTCTCAGTATCATTTTTAAGATAGTGCTGAGTAATTTTTAAAGAATATCAGTACAGTCAAAACTTTTGTATTTTATAATCTAATATTACCGAGGACTATCCAGCTGTTTTTTCCCTTTTTTCTTTAATTATTTTTAGTCAGCAGAAGTTCTGTGTTACTGATGGTATTTGAGATGGAAAATTATTTATGATTGTAAGTTTCACAACAATTATGTATCTGTGGTGAATTTTCTTTCCTGAAATTCTAGTTTTGTGATGGCAGAGTGCATTTCAGAGTTAACTTTTAACAGAGAATCTAAATACTGCTGATCTGGGATTGCTTTATTACATAAAGATGTTATATTCTTATGCCTCACCGTGTCATGACAAAAATGAATGAAATTGTGCTTTGATGCACTTCAGTGCTAAGCAGTTGAACAAATTAGAAAACAATTTGTATTATTTTTCCAAAATTAATTGGAGCTGAAAACTCAAAATGGTTACCTTTTTTCCCTACCCTGTGTTGAAAGTAATTGACTGATTGATTGGATAAGCATTTCTCAAGGAGACATGGAGATGCACAAGACATGATTTACTTTACAGAAAAAACTTCACAACATTACTAACAATATGAAGATTATTTTTGTCCTCCTCTGTGTTTTGAAGGTAAACTTAGAGTACTTTACTTAGGTTCACACTGACTTAATTTCTAACATAGGCACATAAGTCTGTTACTCTTAAGCTTAGTATCCCCTTTCCTCTACTTTTGACTGTCATTGCAATAGGATTATTTCTGCAGAAAAAAGAAGAAATGTGACACAATCACTGGGGGTGCCATTTTGTTTTGTGCCCACTAGAAAGTGAACAAATTGGTTCTTGTCCTCTGCAGTGTGAAAACCTTGAAATTACTGTGTCTGAGTTCCACCTGTTTCCCCAGTGCATTTCTCTGATTCCACTTGTCTTTCCTCTATATTATAGGTATTTTTCATATTTGTTCTGATAAGGTAGTGTGGTTGAAGGTAAAACTTACGCTTTTGGATTTCAAGCCAAGCAGACATAGAGTGTGTTACTTACTGGCTGTGAGGTTTCAAACCATTTAATTTGAAGCCCAGTCAGATTCTAACACAGAGGATTGATTTTCCCCCACCCCCCATGTAAATTAGCTTTGGAAGCTCAGTTGGATATGTCATTTTTCATTTAATGTGAAAAGTGTCAAACACCAGATGAGTATACTAAAGAATTACTTGTTACTGTGCTGGCAATTAAGATAAACTAATTGGCTCAATATTAAGCAAGAAGAATTTGAAAATATATTATTGAGATAGAAATAGCCGTGCATTAGTGAAAAGATTAACAGGAAGGAAAAAAATCTGAGTTTCTGTATGGCATTCTTTCAGAAATCCAGGACGGTCACTTAAATTTGTGTACGCTTATCAGCGGAACTGCTTGTCTGTGCATCTGTTTAAATGTCTCTCTTCTGTGTAATGTAATTTAAGGGAACTGGTTGTGCTGCTGGGACAGGCATGAGCCATTTGGGATGTACTTACTGAGTATTAGATCTTGACCCAGTTGTAGCTTTCCTTCCAGTACAAAAGTTTAAAATACTTGCATCATGATTTTGCTTCAGCCGGTGGAGTATGGGGGCCTTCCTTGCTCTACATATCCAAGTAATGATGATCTGTGCTCCCCAAGTAGGTCAGTTGTGAGTGGTCGTTTCTGTTCTGCTGTATTTGTTTGTCAGTAGCCACAAAGGGGTCTTTAGAGCCCAGTCTGGCCTTTGCCTAACTCCTGCTTCATTTTTGCCTTCTCCCAATCATGAACTTCACCTTCTGCAACAAGAAAAGGAGTAACCTACCAGATTCTGCAGCTCAGAGGCTCAAGGTGTACAGGGATTGTCCAGGAAGTAGGCACCACTATTTTGGTTGGTTTGGGCTTTTTTGGGTTAGGTTTTGGGAATCACAGAATCGCTAAGGTTGGAAAGGAC